GGGTTTTAAGGGTTTAGGGGTTTTGGGGTTTGGGGGTTGGGGGGTTGGGGATTTGGGGTTTTGGGGATTTGGGGTTTAGGGTTTAGAGGTTCGGGTAAATAGGGTTTAAGGTTTAGGTTCCTCCCCACCCCCATGCCTGACATGTCTGCTAAGATACTGCTCCTGCCAAGATGTTGTCAAAGCAAAACTGTCCAAAACACACCTGAGACCCTACCGGTAGTTTACATAAATGGAGACCCCAAAATGCAATTATCCTTTGCTTGCGCCGCACAAATGGTACCCCTTATTTTGGGAACCCTGAACCCTAGATCCCCCCCTCTAATCCAGCTTAGACCCTATGGCAGACCCTATGCTGGCCTGCATCGGCAGAATTGCTCTCCTTGGCGGCTTTGGCGGCTTCGGCAGCCAAGTCCTCCAGGAAAGCCGGCGGCGTGTCCTCATGGACACTCTCTCGGCTGACTGGGGGGGAATTCTACTGCATTATCATTATGTGGGCTTTAGCTGGCATGACCTTCGAAGAATGGTAGTACACTTCGTCAACTCTGCCAAGTGGAAATGTCCCCACTGGGGCACCAGGCAAAGACCGTCCGCAGGAACTTCTGCCACTTCACATGCGCGGCGCCCACCAGGCTGTGCGGCGGACCCTGTTTGGAAAGCAGGGTTGCGCTGGGGTGCCCGGTGCAAAGCCACGCGTCAACGAGGCCCAGACGCTCTGGAGCAGGACGCTGCCAAGGATGGTCATACCTCAGTAGCGCCAAGCGAGCAGACACCATCCCGTGACAGGCGGCAGAGAGACTTTGCTGTTTTTGGGAAGTCAAATTGCTGTCAAAACGCACAAGAAGATGTGACCTGAGACATTGTCTAAACTCCCCTATAATACTCCCCTATATAATCCCCTCTATCACCCCCCCTTTTGAAGAGTTTCAACTACAGCTCACATGGGGCCCAGGCCTTGCTGATTGGTGAGGGCTCCAATGCCACTGGCCTTGGCCCTCTGAACGGTGCCCTTCTGGGCAGCCATGCCCACTTCGGCCCAGGGACCCCACTGCACCGACACGGCACCTGCCATTTGGACCGGTCGCTGGTAATTACAGCGGTTCTTGTTGAGATATGACTGAAGATGATCATGTTGAATCTGTACTGGGCAACGTACAATGTTGCTCAACAAGATCCCAGTGTAGATTCCCAGTCCCCATGCCTCCAGGACGCAGTCGGGCAAAGGCAGCAAAGGCGTCCAGAGCACTGTTGGCAGCCGCGTAGTTGCCCTGGCCTCAAGCCGGCTCTGGGCTGTCGTGCATGTTGCACTACGCAGCAAGCGATAAAATCAATGTGCAAGGATCCGCCTGGAGCGCCGAAGAGCGAGGAGGTGGAGGAGAAGAGGATCAGCTGGGCAGCGTCCTTGGCGCTCAAGGCTGTTCTCCAAGCTCGCATACCATGAATTCTGGGCACGGGCCGAAAAGTGGTAACGCAGCAGGTGGCGAAGACCGTGGACTTTAGCTCCGTAGGACCTCCCGGGGCTTCTGCTCTGCTGGCTTTCTGTCTTGCTGTTTGCTGAGCTGCGGGCTTCTGAAACATCTCGCGATCCAGCGCTGGTAGCATAGCATCGGCCAATGCTCCCGCCAGGTGGAACAAGGATGCGAAGGGACCTCGGCGAAGGTTGACACTTGTTAGCCCCGGTCAAATCCGCTCTCAGTAGTTCGCATTCGGCTCAACTTTTGGTAGTTGACAGCTAGTTGCATCAACGGCAGCCACAGTTTGCTGATATTTCTCCTGGACTCTCGAACTTTGCGCGCGAAACCACCCTTCATCTCCCTTCAGCAGGAGTGCCCTTTGGGCAAACATGTGGGGGTAACACACGAGGATGTTGAGAGGATTACGTGCAAATCCCTTTCTACCCACCATCCCCACCCTCTTTGAGTCCTTGGCCATCCTTGAGCTCCGCGGCGCGCACGGAGGCCTCCTCCGAGACGTCGCAGCGGACGACTTGCAGCTGCAGAGCACTGGCCTCACAGCAACTTCTTTGAAGAACATACGGCTGATGAGTGGGGAAACAAATTGAAAAGAAAAGGGAAACTACTGCATTGTTCAGGGTTTGGGGCGACTAGAAGGGAATGAAGAAACGAGTTCTAGGTAAGATGATGATGAAGGATTATTTGAGAACTGCTCCTTCAACAGGACCTGGATCTTCTCGTTGAAAAGGACCTTTAGAACAAACCCCACAACCCCAAGCTCCCAAAGCCCTGAGCCCAAAACACTGTGCACATGCTGAAAATATGCCAGGCGTAGCCTGCAGCCAGTCCCAGCGCGCTTGCACCTCTGAAAAGAAACACGGGCCGAAGAAAGTTTAAGGTGTTGGGGGTGGGGTCGGGTTTAGGATTTGTTGGAATTTAGGATTTGGGATTATTTGCAAAACACTGGGCCGTCTTGAAGTGCCAAGTATAATACCTTTCATCTTTGGGGGTCCTCCGCGTAACTCCTCAGAGTTTTCGGTGCCTCTTCCTGCGGGCGCCCTCCCCTGGAGAGAAGGCAAAGCGACTTGGCACCCTCCTCCGCCAGGAACTGGGCCGTCACCTGGAAGCAGCATTTTGGGCTTAGGGTTTGGGGTTTAGATGTTGGGGACGAAACGATGAGTCCTCCTGAAAAATTGCAGGCCGTTAGTTGCTTTAGTGGCATTACCTAGAACAAAAACAAGTTGGAAGCATTATCCATGTAGTGGTTAGATAAGTGTGGAGCGTTAGGGAGGACAGTGCTGTAAGGCCCCCGCCACGCCCAAGGCGCCCGTGCCCCCGCTCAGGACGTGTGTTCCCACAGGAAGCTTGCTAGGCCTCGGATAACTTCATCCCAGGGCTACAATCCTCAACTGCCCTAACCCCAGCCCCCGACCCAATAAAACATCTTCTCCCTAGCATAGAATCGTACTATGTTGGGGCGGTTTCTTGTTGGGGACAGAGGATAAATAAGGGGCGTCTAGCTGTCGCGCAACCATCAGGCATGACATCTAGGCTGGAGGTATTTCAATATTGGAAATTCAGCGTAAATCCTCCATTTCTGTCCACTTCCGAAAAATGAAGATACCGGGCGCCGGACTCAGAGATTACCACCTTGCCGATGTTCTGGGCTCGCTGGAGGAATTGAAGAGCTCGCACTCCTGAGTCAGCCAAGCTAGGTCTGGGATTAGGGATAACATATTGGGCCAAGCTAGGTTTAGGGATTAGGGTTTAGGGTCAGCTCAGCGCTGAGAACTGAGAACCGCACCTTGTTCCAGTCCCTCGAAGACGTGCATGTGGATGGGCTTGAGAGCTCCGGCATCCACCCGGTCCCGCAAGCGCTTCAAGTAAGCGTTGTACCTTGATGTGGCAAAACTGGACACCGTGGGCAGTTTCATCTTCCAAGTATCTACGCATGCTCACCCAAAAACCTACATAACCCTACATAACCTCAATGTAACCCCTCTGTAACCCCTAGCTAAACCCTTGGAATAATTTGAAGAGACGACTTCCCAGCCTCCAGGACTCTTTCTCCATCATGGTGTCTGCAGCGATCTTCTCGTACATCACATCCGGACGGCTCTCAAACATCTGCCTGGGTGCCGTTTCGGGCTTCTGGGAGCTGAGGGGTTGGTTCTCCAAATTGCCGTTAAGGAACTTAATCTAAGCTACTATTTTGGGAAACCATAATAACTACTGTAATTGAATATATGTATATACTCAGTGTGGTAACTTAACTTATGTTCCTTAACAGCAACCCAGTTCTGAAGGCGCTGAGGGCTCGGCTGGTGGGACCAGATTCCACGCTTGCCAATCTCCACGAAGCGGCCGCCACTGCGCAGCAGTGCCAGAGACCGGGGGATGTAGTCATCGTGCGATAGCCTTAATTGCGGGTGGCTAGGCGGAAATGAAGGAATCAAGAGGGAAATCCGAAAGCTACTACATATTGCTATATAGTTTGAGGCCAGTCAAGAACCTTGCTGCACATTCTTGGGGACTTCTATCCAGGACCAAGAAGCGAGTTCAGCACGACGTCCACGCCCTCGGCTCCCTCTCGTTCCAGGAAGGCCCGCATCTCTTCTTCGAAGCGGGCCCCGTTGCGGCTGCTGGTGATGTACTTCACCCCAAGGCTCCGGAGGTACTCGTGCTTCTCCTGCCCCCAACACTTCAGGCCCCAGGCCTACTGCGATAGTATGAACATATGACTATCATAATGAATATCACAACAAGTACTATGAGAAAATCCAGAAAATTACCATTCTTATCCTTAACCGCCATTGTTCGGATCATCAAAGAATTCCCACGGTGGGAATCTCCTCTGCGCCAGCAGTGGCATAGACCTCTGCCCCCACGTGCTGCGCGTACTGGATGGCCACCAACCCCACTCCGCCGGCAGCCGCATGGATCAAGACCTGATGAAGACTGCTCCAGAGTAATCAAAAATTTGTTTAGCCATTCTCAAAAGTATGACCCACCATGGGAGGGACTTCCTTCCCTATAATTTCAACGGCTTACCCTGAACCCTGAGATTCTGAGCTCCAAGCCCGTTCCCCGCGCTTCAGTTGCGCTAGGTCCCCCAAAGCCTCTTCCACCGTGACGAAGATGACTGGCATGGTGCAGGCCTCCGCTGGCTCCGACGTTACATCCCCGGCCCTCTGAGCATCTTTCATCAATATTCGTTTTTTTGTTCTCGGGCCTTCTTCCTCCCGCAGTACGGTCAGAAGATCTAGCTGTTGCAGCTTTCTGGGGCTGAGGGCTTAGGGCTTCTGGTGGAGCGTTTAGTTAGGGTGAAGCCATCAAAGAGCTTCTGCTTGCTGTTAGGAACCCAGGCCGTCTTGATCGGGGGTGAATGAGACTTCCTTTGCCTCAAGCCATTCTACCAACAAACCCACAACTCGGCCCAAACTCCAGAGCTTCTGCAATGTCCTAAACCTTATAACCCCAATGTAACCCCAATATAACCCCACTGTAACCCGAAAATCTCCATGTTCATCCCAACCTCTTCGAAGGACCAACTCGGTGGCTTGGGCGACAGCAGCGACCTCGAGACAGCTCTGGAACAGCTGGGATATGGATGTAGAGGGCCTGCAGTATGAAAATTGAATCCTTATGTCTTTCCATATTTAAGCACGCATGGAATTTCATCCAGAAGAAACTTGAAAAATCCCAGGAATTTTCCAGTCCTGGACTCAGGGCCGTGCGCAGGCGCAAGGCAGTAGTTGCTCAAACAGCCCGGGGCTTCGCCGAAGACGTCCTCGGCCAGCCTCCAGCTTTCCAGCGTCTTCTTCTAATAAGGATATAGGGATATAGAGGTTATATGTGGATACATAGGAAAATTCCATGAAATGCCATTTGAACCCATCATAATACAATCATCCCCCCCATTTAACATGATATGCTGGGGGAAGAATGTTTTATCAACGGGGGGTGGGAGCTTATTTCTCAAAGGCCCAGCTCTCTGTCCCTAAACCCTAGACCCCAAACCTCTGCACTCTACACCCCAACCCTGAAACCCAAACCCTGAACTCCAAACCCTGAACCCTGAACCTTCACCCTTTTTTTTGGCACCAAAGCCATGGT